CCACCATTTAAACCGTGTCTATTTGAAAGTTTAAGAAAAACCACAAAAAACCACTGTGATTATTTTACCTTTCCCATATTTTCTTAGAAACAACTTTCCTTACACTGCTCTTCTCTGCCTTGTTGTCCTTAGCCTAAGTGGGTCCTCTGCCTCATACCTCCAGTGGTGTGTGTTCAAGGCAGAACGGTGATGGAATTCGCACTGAAAACACAGACGAGTGTTTGTCCTTGTGTTGAAGTCACGCCGCTTTATCTTTGCACCCCACTTTATTATTCCCTCTTTGCCTTAAACAACCAAAGGAGAAGCAACCGGGACCGGCGCGATGCTGATGTGCGCTCAGACAGCCGAGACAAATCAACACAAGTTATCAGCTCATACTCTAATGAACTTTCCATGTGATATATGCTGTACATGTAGGTATTTAAAGTTTAAGGAAAATGTAGATTTTACTATCATATCAATATGTCGCAAAGGCTGCCATTCTGTATATGTTTTAAAGAAACATTTCACTGTAGTCCACTATTTATGAAAATGTACCAACTCTGTAAAATGGAAAAGAAATGGGAAAATATATCCAAAAATATAGACAGACAGCACTGCCTGATTTATTTGTTGACAAATACAGATGTGAGGTATTTTGGATTTTATCAATAGGACCACTAAAAAACCATTCAAGGACTGAAAACTGCAAGTAAAAATTATTTTACTGCAGTAGCCTGGGTTCATCTGGAGCCCCAGGCCATTATCTTCATCTCATGCCCCCTCTTTCTACCCAAAATCCCATCTGTCATTTATTGACACCACCAAATAAAACCCTGCAAAGCCCAACAATGGACTTAAAAATGAAGCATTGTTTCATAAAAGAAAGTAGAAAATGTAGTCAACAAATGTCCTACACATGTGTGAAAGAATCCTATATAAGGCTCCACGAACTATTCAGTTTTATCCTGTGAAGAAATAGTATGATGAGATCGGTCTCTTCTAGGCTGAGAATAACCAAGGACTCACCGAATGGCTGTTGAGTATGAATATGATGTAAATCATGTGCTAAGACCTTCATAGTAGCTGTAAACTATTTTCGAACTGACCTGTCGAATAAGGATAGACTGGGCCTTCATTTATCACACTGACAAAAACTAAGAGAAGAAAACTGGGTTTTGTGCGCGTGCACAAATTTGACAGGAAGTTTTCATCAAACTTCTTCCGCTCCTTGAAATTTAATGCTCTTAAATTAACGAAAGTCCTGCTATTTCAGAGATGAGTTTGGACGTCTGTGATGTTCAACAGGAATATTCTCGCCTTGTTTTTTTTGTTTGTTTGTTTTTTTCAATGTCTGCCCTTGTCAGTGGGAAATTAAATCCTTGCTATTATAAGAATAACACTCACATGCATCATTAATTTATCACTATTTACATGTTAAATATAGGTGAAAAATGTATACTTTTTTTCTTAGAGTTTCCTAACTTACACTCAAAAAGTATTATACATGTCGTTGAAGGATAAATTGTGTTGTAAAAGTGACGATTCTTTTACAATTTGCTCTAATTGGGAGTAACTTTATAAACGTGTCTTATCGCACGCGAAAAGTACTTTGCTAAGTGTAATTTGTGGAAGCTTGAAAAATACTGAACCTGCTTCAGCATTAAAGCAGCAACATTAAAAGAAGAACTTGTAGGAGGCCTTTGATCTCATTCATGACAAACTGGGTTTATTGAGATTCAACTAAAATCTTCATATTGATGTGCACCAAGGCTCTCAAGTGACTGTCAAGCATAGCGTTTTTAGGCCTTTAATACACTAAAGAATTAATTATCTGTAGCACAGGATTTGCAAAACGGAGTTTAAGCTATACATTGATGTTGTTTGAACTGAGTGCGGTATCCTTGCATACAAGCAGAGGAAAATGACATAAATTTCACTGCATGAAATATGCGTCTTTTGGGAAAAAATGTACTTCAGCTTATTATTTCAAATAATTCCTTTGCCAATCTGTACAGAATCCAAAATGTTTTCTCTGAAGAGGGCTCTTCACATTTTTGCCGTGATGACACCAGACACTTCAGTACCAAAAGAGGCGAGCTGACCCTCAGAGTTTTAAACGAGACAGGTGTCACCCCCGAGGTTCTAGTCATTGGCACCTGCTCAGGAAACCACAGCTTCCAAATTTTAGGAATTGATGACAATGTGGTAAAAATGTGGAGGTGTAGTCATGATTTAAAGCGGGATGGCGGGTTGATGGTCTGGCCTCTTCATTTAGTGAGTAATTAAATAAATGAGTGGATTCATGCAAAATAACATCGAGTTTGTTTTTAATATGCTGCAGTTTGACGTCGTTTATTCCACTGAGAAAGGAAAATCATCCCTGCACAGTCTCCACATGTCGATGGGGCAACAGGGGAGATGAAAAATGGAGACAACATGGAGTTAGAAAAACTGTAGCTACTCTATGTCCCACTTCAGGCTGGTTCTAAAAGAGAGCCACTGCTCAGACTCCCATGTTAAAATGTCCTTCTTTACAACATTAAAACACTAATTTTTATAGCCTGACACAAAATATTGTTTTGGCCTTAGTGTCCTCTTGAGCGGGGTGATTTGTTTTTAACCTATCCACCTGGATATGTGAGTGTGGGGTGTCGTTGAATTGACTGACCGCAGTCTTCTAGGCCCCATCCACTATACTGGAGCACTTCACTGCGTGTGTCTGTGCTGTTATGGCCTTTTGGAACATATTTAATGGTTATGACTTACTGTGTGGTACAGACCAACCAAGAAGGTTGTGCTTCAGTAGTCTGTTAGTCGGTACTAATTAGCCGATATTTGTCTCTGTGCACTTCACCCGTACAGTTTGCATTAGCATTCCACCTTCACAACTGGTTCCAAAAGAAACCTGAACATGGCAGCAGCCAAAATTCTAAATTTGAACCTTCAAGAGTCTAAAATTCATTTGTGATGTCAATGATGCGGCTACAACCATCTTTTATGTAGTCAGAACTTCAAACAGCCACGTGTCAATCAAGTTGGGGGGGGGGTTCTTCAGGATGTCGATTAAGCATAAAGTGAATAGCTTGTCTAACTGACCACTAAAATGAAAGGCGGTTTTTATTATTCTTTAAAAAGATTGCACTAATAAATGACCAGAGATGTTTCTAAGGTTGCTCACGACCAATAGGACATGCTTTTAGAAAGACTTGAATAGCAGTTGTTAGCTGTAATAACTGATGAGGCTTTTTAGTGTGATTATAAAAATTCCACCTTTATACGGTTGGTAAGCAGTCAAGAAAGCTCATATACAGTTCTCATGCATTACAATTATTATTGACATTTTTGTTTCTCGCTACTGCTTTGCTACACCAAATTCTATGTGTCAAATCCCATTTTAACCCCTGGGTGTAGCTACTTACATTGTGTAGCGACTGTTTCATACAGAATCACATTTATTTATTCAAATACGATATAATACTGCAGTTCTGATATAATTATTATACGTTTACCTTCCAACACATTTCAGAGAGGGAGTAATCACCTTGAATCCTATCTACTCGCCTTCACAACTAATGATCAAACGCAATGATTGTCTGTAGAGATTCTACATCGGGGGAAAAAACCTGAAGGTTACAGGCCCAGTGAGCAGGTTCATGTGGATTGTGAAGTCCTCTACACAATGTAATTTCACTTGCTACTCTGCTGATTTGAAGAAAATGCTCTGAGCACGAGCAACAGGAGCAGCCTTGGAGCAACGCTCGGTGCTAAAACAGCATCACCAAGGCAACCTTGCAGAGCAAATTACACGAATTGTGTGCAAATGCCAAACGAACGATCAGGAGAGATGGACTGAAAGGGCAGTGATCAGGATGCATAAGTATATTTAACAGAGCTTTATCACACGTGGCTCCATAAATACTTAAGTAGTAATCAAATCTGGATACAATCTTCCATAATAATGCATTTAACTTTTTTTTTTTTAAGCTTTAATTTTAAGAAAAAAATAGTGCATTAACTGATCAAGAATTATAACCTGTATAAAAAGAAGTAATGAACTGGAGACCAGAAGGCTTAGGCTACCACAGAAAACAAGTAAAATGGATCAATAATTTCCTTACTGAAGGAAAAAAGCCTTAACTTCTTCAGCTAACATCATTCTGCTTTCACTCTCCACCTAAAGACCCATTAGCCCACTGCTATCGGTCAGTGAGACAGGACAGGAGGGGCTACGCAGCGTGTGCAGCAGCTGAACGATTTGGCGAGTCAGCCACCTGGCAGAGAGGCAGTGTTGGGTGGGGCGGGGGGCTAAAGTAAGTTGGCTGGAGGCTGGATATGAGCAATTAGGAACAGCCTGGATCTGGCAGAAGGGACGCTGTGGTGGGTGGAGGTGAGGGAGGCCAATGAGGAAAGGTCGGGATCAACTTGGAAATAAATGGACAAATGTGGAGGGGAGGGGGGGGGCTAAAAGGGGGAAGTAGGACAACGAGGTCAGAAATATAGAAGCAGATTCCCTTTGTTCGGTTTTTGTGGAAAGATGGTAAACGCATGAGTGTGTGGATGACACAGAATGAGTGGATATGCTCAGTATGATTTAAGCTTAAGAATCCTTTATTTCCTTATATTTTTCTAGTGCATATACCAGTTTACCTTTTAAACCTCAGATACAACTGCACACACAGAGAAGGTATTTCAAGCAGATTTGTCTTACACCCCCTTTACTAAACATTCAGTGACAGAGTAGAAAGTATCAACACCAGCTCTAATCATTCCTTTCTTATATAACAAAATGTTATTTTTGTTGCATAATTCATTCATCTTAGATTCTTCTACACGTTTCATACATCATGAAATAGAAATATGGACAATTATACAACAACTCCAAAAATTGTTAGAGATTTTATTCGTTTCATTTAAAAAAAAACACCTGGATTTCATTTACAGATGTACATTTTGTGCAAAATTATTCCTCAAAAACCCCCAAATGCAATTCTT